TATATATATATATATATATATATATATAAATGACATACTGTAGCTTTGAGATAAATTACAACTGACAAAACATATTTTCAAAAACTGGCTCCTATTTCAATCATCCCCTCTGCATGTTGACCAAATTCAAAGTTCAAATAAATGCAAACTGTACAACACGCTTGTCAAACAAGATGGTGGACCTTGGAGACCCACAGAGAGCATTAGTGGTGGGGAAAAAAATAATGCAGGTCTTCCTGAAATTAAGACTTCGAAAGCAAAAAAATTTGACGAATCAATAAAGTGGATTTATTGCCCTGCAACACCAGTAGCATTTGTAAAAATGTCCTTCTTCAAGTTCCAGAGAAATATTAGAGGGACTGTTTTATGTGTACCTTTGAGCCTGTATGTATAATTTTGAATATAATAGATTAAGCACATTTACATCAAATACGACTAGATTAAATTTAGACTAGGACCAGTTGTTATTCTTATTATAATAATAATAATAATAATTACGTTTTATAATCATTCCACCACAAAAAAGAATAGCTTAAGTAAATGATTCAAAGCTCTAGATGAATATGATATTCATGACATTGATGATTATATGTAAACATCTTCCCAGCACTGTAATAGCTGTAAAAAACATATCAAATATTAGGAGGTTTTCTTTTTTGAAGAAATTGACTATTTGTATCAAGTTGGATGCTTAAAAAGTGAGGCTTTGTGTTGGCGCAGTCAGCGCTGTGAAAAGGTTTTCAGAAAACATTTGACGGAACGGGAGGCGCAGTGACCAGTGGTAAAAACCTCCAGGCTGACATCTTTCTTTGTGTTGGGGTTCCCCTGCTAACCGGACTGTGATTCCCTCCAGGGATCACCACCGTGCTGACCATGACAACCATCAACACCCACTTGAGGGAAACCCTCCCCAAGATCCCCTATGTGAAAGCCATCGACATGTACCTGATGGGCTGCTTCGTGTTTGTTTTCCTGGCGTTGCTGGAGTACGCCTTCGTCAACTACATCTTCTTCGGACGCGGTCCGCAGATGCAGAAGAAACTGGCTCTGAAGGCGCTGAAGGCAAATAACGAGCGCGGCAGGTTTGACCGACCCAAGGTGGGAAATACCAAATTGATGACAAAGTGGAAATTGCCAATATCGTGTGACTTGTGTTGTTGTTGTTGTTTTCTACTTTGCATGGAATCCAATATTGGCAGCAACAGCAAAATGAAAATGCATTTGATTGTACTTTGTTCTGCTTCAGCCTGGAGTCATTAAAGTTAATAAAGTTACAGCAACTTGCAGTTAGATTTGATGTCATTTTTTCAAAAACAAATAGACGAAAAAATAAATGAAATGGTAATGATTTGATTCATTTACAATTTTAACTTACTGCAATCTCTGCTGTGGGAGAGTCTTCACTGCGTTGTTCTTTTTTTATGGTGGCAGAGCTTTAGCAGCAAATTATTTAAGCTGCTGATTCAAGCTTTGTCATCACTGTTGATTGGTATTTACTGCTGCAGGCAGTCAGCCTCCATCTTTACAAGTCAGCATGGAACAATAACCTTATCTGAAGGTTTGGACTTTCAGTGTCACTTAGAGCCAAAGAGACAATGGAGACTGCACACACTTAGTTATAAAGGAAGGACGGTCTATCATACGGTTCTGGTTAGAGGTCAGAGGTTTATATCCATTATATCCATTAACAACGAATCGTGGGTATGGCCATGAATTCATTTCAGGTTATTAATTATGCATTTGTGCCTTTCTTTTTTCCTCCAGTGTGAAACACCAAACTTTTATAAATCTTAAAAACTACGTTTCAGTGATTGAGTTTTGTCTCACATCCTCAGGGTCAAAATTATGCATTCATGCTTAAGATCTACATACACCTTCACTATTATCTGCTTAACAAATGTTGCAAGCTTTTTACCCTGTGCTCGGTCTGATAGGGGTCGCATTTACCCCGTGTGAGCTCCTACGAGGTTTTTTGTGTGTGTGTGTGGTTTTGAAAACTACGTTCAACCAAATATTATGATGCCTTTGCATACAATAAATCCTGTACGTATAATTTAGTGAAAATTCACAACTTTTGAATCCAATTCTTGTTTCATAAAAGTAGTTTGTTAAAATGAATCCACCAGATTGAATGGGACTCTTGTCTGTGATGAATCTATGTACATTTCTGTCTGTAAGTACATAATTCATTAAAAGAAGAATTTCAAGGAACAAGCTTTTAAACATTAGACTAACAGTGACTCTAGTTCAATCATCCCAGTGTGAATCTTCTATTGGGTGACCTTTCTGACTCCTCTAAAGCTGAAATTCTATAAGAACCTTCAGCGCCTACCTAATCTAAACTCAGAGGACATTATTTCTGTTTCTTTCTTCTAGTCCATTCTAGAAGGAGTCAACTGGAAGACCTCGTCATCTCTTAAACAGTCCAATCAGGTTCAGAGCCGCCGTCACTCGCATCAGGTGAGCGTCCGCCCCAGCCAGCTGGGTTTTAAAAACCATCATTTAAAACATGTTTCAGTTGCAATTTAAAGCTGCATTATGTCACTTTTACCTGCCTTTCTCTCTGTGCAAACTAGAAACAGCCAATCAGAGCCAGGGGGTGGGTCTTAGTGCTGTCAATCACAATCTTGCTTTCTTCTACGCCTTCGCTTCTCCCTGTCTGCAGAGCTTGTTGTGAATACTAAGGCTAGTGAGCATGGCCACCGATGATGGTGGATGAGTGTTTTTTTCTGTAACAAGTTGTTTCTCTGCCATTAGCTCATTTAGGACCATGTACCTGAGTTGATTGACAGTGCTAAGATCCTCCTGGCTCTTCTTTTTGTTTGGGAGTGGTGGTTTCTTCAGATTTCCTCCACCAGGGAAGAGGTGGAGGAAATCGATCTTTCCACAGATTATCTGTCTCATCTTACACTGTCACTGTCATATTTTAACATGTGTAAAAAAAACACATTCTTAAAACACTAAAAAAAATTCAACTTTCAGCCATTTTTTTTGTGTTGTCAATCATTAAAGCTATTTTTTCCAATGGTTTTTCTTCATTGGATTGAATAAATTGATGTTCTTGTTCACCAATCCATACCAGATTGGATTGGAAAGAGTGTCAGTTTACCTTGTCTTATATATCGTCACCTTCCTCAAATAATGACCCAAATCATTTTGTGCCAAAAGTTATAAAAAAAATCACCATCTCTTTCTTTCCAAAAGATGTTTTGGGCAAAACAAAAACAACACTTTTGGCCATTATTTGAGGAAGGTGACAGTACAGAATTTGCTACGTTATAATGTTGTGCCCTTTGTATTTATCTCAGCTTTCTGTGATTTATCTCTTCCTGTGTGGAAAGCTGCAGTCGCCATGACAGTAGTAACAGGGGCATCTAGTGCGACCTTGATCTGATTTGTGTGAAGTGATTTAACTTTGGGACAGAGGACCCTTCTCTCCGAAGGCCGCTCTGCGTTTTATCCCGTCTGTGATGTCATCGAGGCCATTTTTTGTTTTTTTGTTTTTTAAACCTGGGCTGCCGTCTGCGTTTTCTCCTAGGTCGACTCCCACGGGAACATTCTGCTGACGTCCTTGGAGATCCACAACGAGGTGGGGAGCAACGAGGTCACCACCACCTTGAGCGAGACACACAACTCCACCTCCATGACGTTCGACAACTCGGGGGTCCAGTACAGGAAGCCCAGCACACCCAACGAGGCGGGCCGCCACAGTCTGGACAGGAACGCGCAGTTCAAAAAACCCCGCCTGCGGAGACGATCGTCACAGCTCAAAATCAAAATCCCCGACCTCACCGACGTGAACGCCATCGACAGGTGGTCGCGGATTATATTCCCCTCCGCCTTCTCCCTATTCAACATCATCTATTGGCTTTATTACGTCCACTAACACACTGTGGTTTTGTTTTGTTTTTCTTTTTTTGTTTTTTTTGTTTTAAACCCATCTTTGTCTCATTCCGTTCTGGAATCGGAGAGAACGTTTCGATGCAACACACCTAACGTGGTAAAAATCCCGAACATTTCTGGGCATAGCGAGTGCAGACTTTGGCCGAGAGAGCCGTCACTCAGACTGTGCGACGTCATGTGGGTTTTTACCAGGGGGGGGAAAAGACTTTGAACAGCTGGGAGACAAAACATCTTTGCACCGCTGGAGATCTGTTGCTAGGACACCGGTGTTTTTAACGTGATCGCATTATCGCGGGTCTCTTTATAGCAATGATATTATTTGTCTACAAGTCTTTACTTTGGCTAATGTGGATGCTCAGATTTCTACCTGCAGACTAAAATCTGTCTTAATCGTTGGATGTTTTGGAGAAATATTGTGGTTTTTAGCTCAGTTCAAGTGAAATCACTGATGAGTCTTACAGTGCCTTGCAAAAGGATTTAAACCCCTTGAATGTTTCCACGTTTTATCACATTTTAACCACTGATTCGAATGTATCAACATTTATTTTATGTGATAGACCAAAATGCCCAACTGGCGCAACATTTTAGGAGTGAGATAAACAATTTTGAAAATCTACATGATTCCATTGTTGCTCTGGCTGAATGTTTTAGATCAAAGTCCTACTGGATGGTGAACCGCTTTTCCAATTTTAAATTTTCTGTAGCTTTTTTTTTTTTTTTTTTTTTAGGATTGGCATCCAGATAATCTCGTGTGCAGTTACTTGGTGTTCATGACACTGTTTGTTCTCTAACAAACTTCTTCACAGAACAGCTGGATTCATACTGAAATTAAATTACACACATGGTTTTTGTTTACTAACTAAGACTGCCAAATTTTGTTTAGGGCATTAGTGTGTCGATCTATCACATAAAGTCCCAATAAAAACAAAAAAGTTTGAGTTTGGCATGTGATAAAAGGTGAGAAGTTCAGGGAAGTTTGAACGCTTCTGCAAGGAAAGGAGAGCCAGAGCTTGTTGGGTAAAAAGTGGAAATGGGTGAGAGCCGGCGACAACGTTGCCAAAGATCCAAACGTCTGGCGTTGCTTTGCTTTGGAGTTGATGCCACTAAGTGGTTCTCTTGCTCTTTTGCTCGCTGGAACCTCTGCAAACTTTCTGAAATGCAATGTACCAGGGTAAATGCATATTAATTGTTACATGTTACTTTACCTTAAAATTCCTACTGTTACTGCAAGAAAGGGCGATCACAGCCACCACATTACTGAAACCTACTTTTCTTACTCTCAGCCCGTCAGACAAAGAAAGCTTGGAAATTTGTTTACATAAAAAAGAATAACTAATGTCGGTGGATTATCTGTGTTTGTAAAAAAAAAAAAAAGAAAAAAAAGAAAAAACTCCTTAGGTTTAATTTGGTCTGTCTTACCCGAAACAATTGATGTCATTGTGTCTTTGATGCTAACTTACATTATCTGTCAAGTTTGTTCAACACCTGGCAAAGTATACCCTATGCTTTTGCTTTGTGCAACATACAGCATACAGCTGGAAAGGCAAGGTATTCATTATCGAAATAACGCCAAGCCAACAACAGTCAAAACTAAAATGTATAGTTAAAGGCAACTGGTATATATAATTTCCAACATTAATAACTATATTTTTTTTCACCAAGATTTTTTTCTGATAATCCAGTTAAGTAAAGCGGGGCTCTGTTATGACATGGACAAAAAGGATAGGCCATAATTCACTTAGATGGATAATAAATAAAATGAGCATTGTCTTCCTAACACCTTAAAGGTCCATCAACTTCAGTGTAACCTGTTAATGAAGTCGAAACTCGAGACTCCCTGCAGTGAAGTACCCTGTTTTATAGCCACAGGCTCCGCCCACAAGACGAGAAAATAAAACAATTACATCTAGTTTAAGTAAGCTCTTTTCAAAGTTTAAACAAATAAGACAATAAATAAACAATAATAGTAATGAAAAAGAAACCTGCAATAAAAACGCAATGCTCAATTTGATAGAAAACAATTAATGTACAACGTTACTGTTACGTCATCACGTAACTCCCTCCGGGTGCCCTTTAATCCGGAAATAGCTTTGTTTGAAAGTCTGACCCGAGAAAATGTTTGACATTGGTAATTACAAGCTAGGAAGGATATGACAACTTTGTGCACCCACGACGAACCGCGCCGGTTTGTGCTGAAACCAAAAAGTAAGTTCTGTCGCGTGTGTGTGTGTGTTTGCGTGCCAGCACGGACTTTGCTGTAGCACTGTGGTAAAAGGTCCATGTGCTTTTACATGGACCTTTTACCTTCCTTTCTTAGGCAAGAAAGGAAGAAAACAAGACACCAGGTCCCGATGAATGTTTAGGCACCAATATGGAAATTTGGGTCGATATCAATATTCGATATCATTTCTTGAATAATCGATATTATTTTAACACATATATTTTACATCCTTTCCGACACCTTAAAAAAAAAACGAAAAAGACTGCTGACTTCACCTTCTCTGCTTCAGATAATTTTGAAAAGTGTAGTTTTTTTTATATTGGTTGTTAATATTGGCTCAGTCATATTAATCTGGCGGTGCTGATATGTTACATAATGATGCCAATGTTAGTGCCGATGTATCGTTGAAATCCCAACTGATAATGTAAGTAAATAAAGACGAATTTACTCCTTTCCAAAGTCAAACAGAAAAATCCTTTCAATAAAACCTTTATTGTCTTTTGTACTGTTAACACCTCTGGACAAACCGCTGGCAAAACATCAGACTTTGATTAGACTACGAAAGAGTTTTGATTAAGTGCTAAGCTGTGACTGGTCTGTCTTTTTATATCTGGGCTGAGCTTCCTGTTTTAATGTGAAGCTACATAAACAGTGTCTGGCTGTAAAAAAAAAAAAGCATCTTTTTTTTTTATTTACCAGATTTTGGGTTCATATGAAAAAAAAAAAAAAACTTTAAATGATTTCCCGCTTTTGTCATCATGCTTTCTGTACCAATCTATTCTTGATATTTCTGTCAGGAATAGACATTGGCTATGTTGTCATCATTGTTTTGCTCAGTGATTTCCAGCCTTGCCTTGTTTCGTTTTTGTTAGTCCTCACGAAATATTACGATTTCCTGTTTGTGATTGAAAAAATATAAAAGTCGAACAAACAGCTTGAGATGATTTTTATTCTTTTCCTGAAGGCCCAGCCAGGAAGTGAACTTCCCCACCGCTGCCCCAAATCCTCTCCCTGCAAAGTAAGGAAGGGCCTAGAAAGTTTCTGCAATAACTGAAAAAAAGGGGTAAAAAAGAATAGAAAAGAAAATAAAAGCTGCTGGCAGACACAACTTGCGACGCACCATCTGCACTGCTTGCCTGAGCGGCTTGCAGCGCGTAGGAGTGACACCACCTGTCAGAAGTCCGCCGAGCTCTGCGACACGCGGGAGCTCCTGCCTTATGGAACACTAGTCTCTATAAGAAGTCAAAAAAAAGCAGAAGAAGAAAACACTCATGTGAGTTTGGAAAGGTTTCTAATTATTTAACAAGCGGCTCCTTTTGAAAACTTGTCTCCACAAATTAAAATCAGTCATCAGTTGAGCTGTACATGGAATCCACTAGCAGGAGCTAAACTCACTTCTGTTAAAACCGACATGCACATTCATGTAAGACTCTCATGTCCCAGGAAAAGTAGACCAGTGGACTATTTCTGGAGTTTACTGTTTTCATTTTTCTATGACAAGTAGGATAGCCTTATCCTGGTCATTGTCACCCTATGTAATTCCACTAGATTTTAATCTGTCCTCAGTTCTCAAATCCAGTAGACTTTCAATCGGGCGAGTCAGCAAACACATGGACAAGTTGTGAATAATGACACAGATTTTCTTTGCCATTCTCCAAATGTAGGCCCGGTCCCAATACTCGCACTACGTTTTACGCTACTCTACAAAGAGTGTACTCGGCTGAAGTGAGCATAAGGTGTTCGAAACAGTAGCAATTTTCATAAGTGTGACCAAGTTCTCCTTGCACACAAAAGTGGTAGTAGCACAGAAAAGTGTCTAACCTCAACGTTCTGGGTTCAGAGTTTTAAAATAAACCGTGTGGACCGACAACCAGTTCTGTGACGGTGAAAAAACACAGCCTGCCGCGTAAACGTAGGCGTGCAGCATGTTCAGAAGCGACAACTTCCTTGGGAAATAAAATAAGCTGAGGATGCAGTACGCTCTACCAAAAAAAAAAAAAAAAAAAAAACACCCAACAACCCTGCTTTTAGTATTTGACTGTATAATTAGCATTTTTAAGAGAAGCTGTCAGATGGGTGGGTGAGAAAATGTCAGGCACACAAAAAGACAAAATAAATAGCCTGATAATTAACATTCAAACCAGAGCTCCTTTAAAACAGGGGTCCAGAAGTGTTAGACTGCAATGAATGACATGAAAATGTATATGAAGGTAGATTTAACCGCTAGGATCAGACAACAATGAGAAACAAAAAGAACCTTAACTCCTTGTCTTCATATCTACTGATAATGGCACCCAGGACATGTGTGTGTGCAATAAAATAAAAACACCAAATGGGAGATTTGATTGAGTTTCTTTGGAAAGCTGAGAAGAAGATAATTAGGCCGTGACAATAATACATTTCTTGGTGTAATGAGACAGAGCTGGAATATCTGCACGCTCGCCCACAATAATGAATCGAAATGAGCGATATTAAACCTGGAGGCGGAAGCAACAACACGAGCTTCCAAGAGTGAACCCCCCGCAGCGACTTGGACCAATAATGCAAACAGTGATATTACCAGCAGCCTCCTTTTGCTTGTTTTTAGTGGAGCCTTTTAGCAACAATGCTTGAGCGGAAAAAAAGGCAGCTGCTCAAAACACCGAGGCGGAAACGCTCCCAAGTCGGATCGAATTACCGTCGGTCTCCACACCGATTCAACAAACAAAAAAACTTTTTCAGCTACCTGAAAATGTCACATTTAGTTTTACAATGCTCTGATTTTGTTTAGGCAATTTTTTTTTTTTTTTTTTTTTTTTTTTTTTTTTTTACACAGATGTTTCTTTAAATTATGTTGGTAACTATTAGTTTAGAGAGCAGGATCACTGAGTCTGATATTTCTCCAGTTCTTCCAGAAAATCTCTTCGAATCACATGAGAAATCCTCTCGCTCATTATAACTTCCTCATCTTTTCTGGCACTCTTTCACTTTTAGGTGGTGCATAGACAAAGTTCAGCAGGTAAAATTGCCCTGAGATCAATCAAAAGAGGACACAAGTCAAAAACACAGCTACAAAACCCCAGTTTTATGTTTTTTCCATTTTATACCACAATCAGCCGTGCTACCTTCAATTGTTATAAAAAGACTGTATATTTCAAATATGACTTAAAAGTAATCTGTAATTGAACACCTTGAAATTGGGCCTCTGTCTCTTTAAGAAGCTCCTGCTCTTTCTGAAACTCTGCCTTCAGGAAGTCATCACAGCATGTCTCCTCTCACCCGCTTACAACGTTTTCACCAGCATTTCATTGGGAAGTAGCTCCTGAGTGAAGCAGATGCTCGCTTCCAACAGGTGTTTGCTAATTGCTGCTGGCTAGTCTGAAGGGGGTGAGTGGGCACAGGGCTTGAAAACTGCAACTCTGACCGAGTCAGGAGGAACTTTGCCCTCGAAGGCGGGGCTAGGTCCACCCAGGTGTTTTGCACAGCTGAATGGTTGCCATAGGAGATTAAAAGATTTCTCAAACAAGCATGAAAGAATCAAAGCAACACTGTTTCTGATGAGGGAATGACATTATAATCAAGGCAAAAAAAAAAAAAAAAAAACCCTAAATTTTTGCATAACATCCCCCGTGGCAGATAAAAGTCCATGTTTACGTATTGTTTATTCAGTAGAAGAGTCCCGAGTTTGTGTTGGCAGCTGACCTCAGCAGGCTGTTGGAGTATTGCTTCTGAGCTGATGGTCGTCCAGATGGCTCGTCCGCACCAACCCGGAACCAAGCAGGAAAGAAAAACTAAAGTCACTTGTGTTCATATACAAGTTCAAATAATAATAATAGAAAAAGAACTGCACATAAAACCTAAATGCTTTTCCATCTAAGAAAATGTGAAGTATGATTCAGTAACTACATTTTAAATAGGTAGGTAGAAGTAATTATGGAATATTTTTTTTCTTTTTTTTTAATAAGTAACGGGCAAAGGGACTGAATGATTCAGCTTCCTTTGTTGCTCTCATTTTAGTGTTTCTGAAGAGTTTATGCAGAGAACATTGGCTCCGGTTTGAAGTGCATGTCCTTCCGAACATACTTTTAGAATCACTTAATGCGCCCAGCGTGGCGCTGAAAACCTTTTTTGATCCAACTGCCCCATTAATGACCTTAATGGCCCAATTAGTGAGATTGTTCTGCCTACAGGTTGAAAGCATGCTGCTTCCCACCCTGTTCAGAACCTTTTGGATCAGAGGTGGTCTTCAAGAAACCAGGGAAGTCCAGCTGCCTCCACTTAAGCACTTAAAATGATTGTTTTTATACTTACTTTCACCGTGAAGGTCACACTTCAGAAATCCTCTGCCATCTCTTTAAACAGTCGTCCATTTTTTCTATTTGTCTCAGAACTTTGCACCGAAGTAGAAAGAAATGTTAATCATGGAATTTAACGCTTTTTGTATTACAGCATCCTTTAAAAAGTAAAAATGTTTCACCACCAAGCAGCAACATTTCGACTTTAGCAGTAGAAATTGGCGAATCAGTTCTGAAAGCACAGGAACGAGGTTTAAAACGGTGAAATCAAAATTTTAAAGAGTTGTCGATTTATTGTCATTCAGTTCAAGGCAACCAGTGCAGGTGCGTCGCCAGGGTGAGTGTTTCCCCCACTGCTCTTAAGCTCCCTAAGTTTTCAAATGACATGTCGGTCATTGGCCCGATCCAAGATGGCAGTTGGAGGATGGATGACTTTGCAGTTTGTAATGATAATTTTTTTCCCCATGCCATTTCCATGTTGTTTCATGCTTTTCCTTGGAGCAGAGAGGAGCACCAGCTTTGAAACCCGGACTCCCAACACTTCAGAACTAGCTCAGAGCAGCCGAGCTTTTGATGACGGTGTGTCACTCAGACCCGTTTCACCACAGAACTCTGGAGTTTTCAGGTTGGCACAGCAAAAAACATCAACGCTTAAAAATCACAACACAAGCAACTTACATCAGCAGTTGGCAAATTACGACACTCCATACCCCTGACAATAATTTACTCTATATTTTTTTTAATTGTATTTGTTGTTGAGTATTCATTGCTAATAAAAACTAGCAAACACTCTAAAAACGAATTGAGATTCTAGACTAACAAAAAGTCACAACACAATTAAACTAAACCATAACCAAAACCTCCAAACTAAACTGGTCATTAAACACTTTTTTTGCCTTTCAGATTTAAGCTGATAGAGCAAAGCTTAACTTGCAACATCGGCTTTCTTTTATCCTCTCATATCGTCTGAAAAATGAAAGTGAAATGGTGTGGAATTGTAAAGAATGCGTGCGTTGCACTTCGGCTGCTTCGCAGGGTTAATTTTTGTGGGCATTTAGATCATTAAGCTTAAATATCACTGGTTTTCAGGCAGATTTAGTCGAGCACGCGTTTAGCTGAAAAGACGTTGGTAAACAGTCACTGCGCTCCAAAAACGCTCCATGATTAGTGCAAGGTCAGTAACCATCACAGACTGAACAAGATGATTCTTTTTGTTCTATTTTTTTTTTATAAATCTATTCACATTTCTTATAGATAAAGTGAAGCTGCATCAGAAAAAAAACAACTGATTGCTGTTGTCATATTTCACCTTCCTCTGATTTCTGGTGTTTGTGCAACAGCGCTCCAAACGCACGTCTCAGTTTTTCTCAGTCTTCCCCCCCAGCCTTCCGCTCCTCGTCTAGTCACCAAGTGTGTTTTCCCTCTATGTTTATGTCGTGTTCGCTGGCAGGAGGTGAAATGGATGTGATTAGTCAAGTGTGTGAAATGAAACAAATTAGGCAGCCAGGGAGCTCACCCACATAGCTCACCGAGTTCAATTATCTTCTGTATTGTGTACAGTGGGAGCCGCTGCAGCTCAAGGTAATGGAAATTAAAGTGGCCTTTAAGTGTACATTTTTATTTATACATAAAGGTGTTTTTTTTTTCCCCTCCGCACGTTTTGTT